AGTAGCTCGGAATGTCGAGTTTAGTTGTTTTGGCTGGGTACTTTGTTGTGCGTGAGTATCATCCCATAAATACCGAGCCATATTCAGCCTTATGACTGACCGCCGTGTGTCTGTCCTCCAGGGCCCGTGTGGGTCTGAAGGCCCCCGGTATCATCCCGCGCCAGTCGGTGCGCGAGCCCATGCAGTCGGGCATCAAGGCCGTCGACTCGCTGGTGCCCATCGGCCGTGGGCAGCGTGAGCTGATCATTGGCGATCGGCAGACCGGCAAAACCGCCGTCGCCATCGACACCATCATCAATCAGAAGCGCCTCAACGACGGTCAGGACGAGAAGAAGAAGCTCTACTGCATCTACGTGGCCGTCGGACAGAAGCGCTCCACCGTGGCGCAGATCATGAAGCGTCTGACCGACATGGACGCCATGAAGTACACCATCATCGTGTCGGCGACGGCGTCGGACGCGGCGCCGCTGCAGTACCTGGCCCCCTACTCGGGCTGCGCCATGGGCGAGTACTTCCGCGACAACGGAAAGCACGCGCTCATCATCTACGACGATCTGTCCAAGCAGGCTGTGGCGTACCGTCAGATGTCGCTGCTGCTGCGCCGGCCGCCCGGCCGCGAGGCCTACCCTGGCGACGTGTTCTACCTGCACTCGCGTCTGCTGGAGCGCGCCGCCAAGATGTCCGACAAGAACGGCGGCGGCTCGCTGACTGCGCTGCCCATCATCGAGACCCAGGCCGGCGACGTGTCCGCCTACATCCCCACCAACGTCATCTCCATCACCGACGGCCAGATCTTCCTGGAGACTGAGCTGTTCTACAAGGGCATCCAGCCCGCCATCAACGTCGGTCTGTCCGTGTCCCGTGTCGGAGCGGCCGCCCAGGTCAAGGCCATGAAACAGGTGAGAGTGCGGCCTTGGGAGGATGGCAGCCTTTCTCTGTGTAAGGACAGTACTCAGCCAGTCATGCTGTTCTAAGGAGAGAAAGTACAGAAACTGACAGCTTACCAACCTGCTTCATGACTCAATATTGAAGCAGGGTGGAGCTTCGACCACATTTCATTTCAGAGCTTACGTTTTAGCGCGATGACGTTCATATAATGTGGTGTTCACGATAATTGCTACACCTATCTGTATATTTTCACCGTCGACCTTTATGCCACCATCCGCGGGACCGCTCCGATGTCCCATGCGTCGTTTCCTGCTCGGTGTCTGACTCTGGCTCCGGTGGCGCCACCAGGTGGCCGGCTCGATGAAGCTGGAGTTGGCCCAGTACCGTGAGGTGGCGGCCTTCGCGCAGTTCGGCTCCGACCTGGACGCGTCCACCCAGCAGCAGCTCAACCGTGGTGTGCGGCTCACCGAGCTCCTGAAGCAGGGACAGTACGGTGAGTGTCGTAATGAGGTCTCACGACGGCTTATCGGGCGGGTGCCGCGGCTATTTTTGGGATATTGATAGTGGTTAATCTCTGATAGTGATAAGTTATCTTGACGGGATTGAAGTTCGCGAGCTGTTTTCAATGTTAACGGTTTCAAGGCTGCCTGATTCTAACTGAATGTTTTGCGATCCAGAGTCGTTCTTTCGAGTTGAGTTTTTGTTCCCATTGTTCTGACGCTCCGGTGTGTGCGCGTCCTCAGTGCCGATGGCCGTGGAGGAGCAGGTGGCCGTCATCTACTGCGGTGTGCGCGGACACCTGGACAAGGTGGATCCCACCAAGATCACCAAGTTCGAGAAGGACTTCCTGGCGCACATCCGCGTCACCGAGAAGGACCTGCTGGCGCGCATCGCCAAGGAGGGCTCCCTGTCGCCCGAGTCGGACGCCGCCCTCAAGAAGGTCGTCCTGGACTTCATGTCGAGCTGGTCGGCCTAAGCGGCGGACGTGTGCGGTGCGCGGTGGGCCGATTTTTATGTAGTAGTGCAAACTGCCACACAGGCCGATCGTGTGTGTCCAGAGTACTTGTTCATGTGCGCAAGAGTGGGAGCGGTGATACGACGAGGACGCGGTTCCCGCGGCCCGGACGCGCTGCTGTTATATCGGTGCGCCCGAAATAGACCACGACCGACGACTTGCCGTCTTTGGAGAAGGAGATTGTGATTTATTAGAGCACTTGAGTGGGAATACAATATGGATGAGAGGAAACAAAAAAGGTGGTTTTGTTTTGCAGGCTGCCAGCGTTTCAGTTGCTTCCTATTTGACATCCGGCATGCCCTTTCCTCTTTGATTTTTGCTAGTTTCAGCTTGACTGACTAGGCCGGATGGGCTTGGGGGAACTGCATGAAGTTACAGTGCAGTGAGCTGTTCTACTTTAGAATGCTAACGGAAATTGCTTGGCTACTCTAATCACCTTCGCTTATGCTTCTGTTGCCAATGTCAGTATCGTAATTCGCAATCGTCTGTAGGATTTTGGTCTTACATTTTCAGTAGGCAGACGGGTCACAGGATTTGCGGTAGCTAATAGCGTTCCGGCTCACAGTTATCGTAATCAGCGAAGGCGTTGACGTGAAGACGGCGCCTTAAAGCCCCAATAAACAACTGTCTCTGTAGACATTCTCAGGCAGCAGCAGGAGCAACAAGAAATATTGAACAGGATGTCAGATACAAAACTGGCGACTGTGACTTCGATAAAGCGCATGTCAGATCACGTGACTAAAATGAAAAAAATAATCAGTATTGTTGCGAAAGTTGTCATTTCGTACACAAAACAAAACAAAGCAGATGCTATTAAATTTTTTTTATAGATTTAGTCTAAAAGGTCAATTTAAACACTTAAAGCATAAATTTTCCATATCATACCGACAACAGGTTTGATCACGTGATCAAAGCTTACCAAAGTCCCAACACAAAAGACTAACGGCGAATACGGACACCGGAGGCAACGTTTGGGTTGTTGGGAACGGAACTGCAATCCGCCGGCCAGTGTTTTTATATACCTTGTCCGCCGGCGAGGTGCTGATGATTGATTATATAGTAAAGAGCATTAGAAATTATTTTGAGGTCATCAAGCGTTTCTAGCAAAGCTTAGGTTCATTTTTTGGTTCCTTAGACCTTGGTTTTCAGGTGATTTGCCCACTCAGTCACAATGGTAAGTCTCAAAGTTGTCACCTGACAATTTCAATTTTCGGTTTGCCAACACTGGTCACTGGAAACATTTGAAGGTTTATTTCGTAATCTATGACCGACAGGCACAGTGTCTTTAATACATCATCATTGGTGCAGCTTAATACAGTGCCTAACCCTTTGTGGAAGAGGCCTCGTCCCGATCGCCTGTGTGCGTTATGTGCACCACACGAGGGCCTATTACGGTCTATTTTGATTTTGTGCCGAAGAAAGTGGTTTTGGTTTGGCTGAAATTTACCTACTGAAAATAACTGTGAAATGGAACGATAAATTCACGCAGTACTTTTTCCATCCATTGTACATGGTTATTTTCAGGCCTTGTTTCTTTGGCTAATATGCATTTGTCAATGCTGATGTTGCAGTAATTGGGGAATGCTCTGAGTGGAAAAGTGTTTTTCTGGTTGGTTTCAGAGCTCAAATTCAACAATGTTTTCCATAATGCTGTACTTATGTCCAATACCTACCAATTTATGGTTGTTACTGGCTATGAGTGAGTTGCCAGTATGACCAAGACCATATCCATGCAAACGTGCATCAGTTTTAATTTGTGTAGTACTTAGTGGTATCTTAGGTGTTTTGTCACAGGTTGAAACACTGAAATGTATCTTTGTACCGTGATCCCTCTTTCCATTTTGGAATCTTAATTAGTTGTTCATATTCATAGTTCACAGTTTTAAGTTAAGTATTATGCAACTTTCATCAGTAATTATCTTGCATGCAAGTTTGATTGTGCATTGTTCAGATTTATCTTAAACCGCAAACCATCAGTCTGGCATTGAGTTGTACGCTAATTGTCTTTCAGCTCTTCTACTCATTCTTCAAATCCCTAGTAGGAAAGGATGTGGTGGTCGAACTAAAAAATGATCTCAGGTGAGTGGTTTGGGAAGATCTGTATATTTAATAACTTATAAGTTTTTTATCCATAATTATAACTCATAACTGGCATGTGTGGAAGACAAATGACCTTTGTTGTTTGTGTACTGTGCATCTGCCTCTCATGTGATTGTCAGTGCTCTGATCCAATAAAGGTTTCAGAACAGTACCTAGTTCAATCATTCATTGTTTATTGTGTCATGGTCCCACCATGCTCACCTAACAAACAGCTGCACTGCACTGTTTCAGCATATGTGGAACACTGCACTCGGTCGACCAGTACCTGAACATCAAACTATCAGACATCAGTGTCATAGACCAGGAAAAGTATCCGCACATGGTGAGTGCAGTTTAATCGAGCCTCTTGACCTTCGGTAGTGTATCTGGATCAAGGAAAGAGGCTTCCTGTACGGAGCTCAGGTTTGCTCACCGGAAAAATGTTTGTGTGAGATGCAATCGAGTTTCGGTGATCAATATTTAAAATGTGTGTCGAGTTTCGGCCATTCTATTGGGATCCATTGAGTTCAAAATATCAGTTCGGTTTGTTCTTGTCCCCCACTGCCTCACACCCAGTAGTTCGCCATGTTGACGCCGCCGCCCGTTCTGCGCAGCTGTCGGTGAAGAACTGCTTCATCCGCGGCTCGGTGGTGCGGTACGTGCAGCTGCCGGCCGACGAGATCGACACACAGCTGCTGCAGGACGCCACCAGGAAGGAGGCGCAGCAGGGGAAGACGTAGCCGCCCCGCACCGCGCCCTCATCCGTCTCACTCGCCCGCGCCGCCGCCGCCGCCTCCGCACACGGGCCGCGCATCGTCCCGAAGTCATCAGTTTTGTTCCAGCTGTGTGTATACAATACACGTGCCGATATTTGTGTAACGAATTGTTTTGGTCGTGTGTGAACTGCCGTACCCAGGTTGGATATTACCCCATTCGTCAACATTTCTATCTGAGGTGTACGCCCGTGTGGACTTTCCGATTACATGACCACTGCGGTCACTGTCATCAATCGAAGAGTAAAATTATACTAGGCCGGCATCGTGAGACTTCCACAAAAGGCAATTATTTTATTGGTGACAAAAATAATCGCTTTATGCCTGAGCCCCAAAACATCACAGCAGTCCCCCACAACAAGCATGTGACACAACAAATGGCGTGGAATCGCTCCACGATCCGACTCAACAACACTACACCATACCATCAGCTCTGCACCGTCACCTCTGACCGGTGTCCCGCGCCGGCGGCCGGCCCGTTCCGTCCCGGTCCTGCTCAGCCCCCAGGTGTCTGAGGAAGTGGCGCTGGGTGGCGGCCGAGGCACCAATATCCTCGGTGAGGGCCGCCAGGCCGGCCTCGTTACAGAGGTGTCGCAGCTCGGCGCCGGAGAAACCGTCCGTCATATCGGCCAGCTCGGCGGCCGACACGTCGTCACACACCGGCATACCGGTCAGGTACAACTGCGAAGGGGATCACAGGGTATACAATTATACCTCCATACCGGCCAGTATATACAGCAGCTGCAAACGAGACCACACGATACACCGGCCAGGTACAGCTGCGAAAACACGATGCGCTCTACGAGTATGTGACGATTTTGCAGGAGTTCGAAGGCTGGGGCTCAGGGCTGGGCACGCACATCAGAAGTAAATAACTAAACACAGCTTTCTAAGGCCTTCCACGTCGTGCCAAATGACAGTGACAGGTCCGGCGCTGAGCAAAATTCAACCGACCACGGGAACGCTGAAAAGCCCCTCCCTCAGCGGCTATATCGCCCTTCCTATCCCCGGGGAGCGGCACCCCACGCCCTACAGATCTGCCCCCGGGCCGGTTCGCCCACTCACCTGTATAATCTCCTCTCGGGCCTGTCGGTCCGGCAGCGGCACGTGCACATGCTGGTCAAGCCGGCCGGGCCGCAGCAGCGCCTCGTCGATCAGGTCGCGCCGGTTGGTGGCGCCCACCACGAACACCGCACTATCCACCGCCTGCCGGGGGTGAAGGTGCGGTCAACAGGGGTATGTGGGACATCTGTAGCCGCAATACCGAGCAAATGCTCACACGTTTCACGCCTTGACAGACAAGATAGCGGCAAGTCCAGTCCACCTAAGCTTAGCCGCCGAATTACGACAGACATCACACTACAACGGCCGCCCCGATACCCGATGCATCTGACTTCTGACATATTCTGGCTTCTCACTGAGTCTCGGGCTCAGTCAGACACCCTTTCATATCTTGATGCCGAGTTCACCTCACGCCGGACTGATGTGACCTAAAGGAACTAAATGGATCTCGACTGACAAAATGTTCTGCTTTGTGTGATGTGCTCCATCTAAGATGAAATGGCATTGACGCCTGACTAACGTTAACTGACGTGTTAACTAAATAAGCACTGACCGCATGATCTTGTTTGATGCCGATGCCGTCCATTTCATTGAGCAGCGCCGACAGCAGCTTGGCCTGGACGCCCGACTGGCCGCTGGTGCTGCGAGTGCCCACTATGGCGTCTGAGGGGAACAGGTGGAGAGTCAGTCAGGCTAGACAATTCAGTCACACGCGCTGTATGACTGTATGTACCGACTTTGGCGTCTGTGGGGACGAAGGAGGATTGCACCGGCTTCAAGCCAGGTGGTATCCTTAGACATATGAGTAATGGCTATCTAAGCATCGTTCGACGTTTATATGACTGCACGCCGCGCGAAGAAGCAAGCGATGCAATGTGAGCAGTCGCAATATCTTACAAGTTACAAGTAGCTATTCACATTTGAAACCCACAATTCGCACCAGGTTGACGGACCTACAACGACATGCAGACTCACGAGTACCTACAGTACCGTGAGTACCTACACGAGTACCTGTAAGTATCTGCCATTAGTGCCATATCCCCACCATCTCCCCTTCATCACCCCTCGCCTCGGACCACTCACCGAGCTCATCCAGGAAGATGACTGCCGGCGCGGTCATCCTCGCGCGCTGGAACAGTTCGGCGATGGCCCTCTCCGAGTCGCCCACGTACGGTGAGAATAGCTCGGCCGGCGAGGCGGTCAGGAAGGCGGCGCGGCACTCGGACGCCGCCGCGCGCACCAGGCTCGTCTTGGCGCAGCCGGGCGGGCCGTGCAGCAGCAGGCCGCGCGGCGCCGGCACGCCCAGCCGCCGGTGAGCGTCCGGTCGGCGCAGCGGCGTCACCAGACAGCGGTGCAGCCGGGCGCGCAGCGAGCCCACCCCGGCCAGACGGTCCCAGGAGAGTGGCGGCAGCGGCGCCGCGCCCGGACCTGACTTGAGCGCCGACGGACGGATCACCAGCAGCGCCCGCGAGAAGTCGGCCAGGCGCAGCTCGGCATCCTACCAGCGGGGGCCGCGTCACAACGCTGGGTTGACGACATAGAACATGGGGGCGAGATTAACACATAGGGAAAATGTGCGCCACCGTACGGTACATGAAGTAGAAGGTCCTTGTTAGCGACGATCTAGTGTAAGAAGTGATCCATACCCCTCTGTCTGACCCGATCCACAAAGACCACAAACAACTGACCATTTCCCCCTGAACTCCACACTGCCGTGCTAAGGCAAAAACTACTATGTGAGGTATAGTAGTTCTTGCCTTTGCACGGCAGCACAGGCCAATGAGATACAAACGGTGCATCACCCACTGACCTGCTGCGTCCGTCCAAACACGGCCTCCCGGCAGAGCGCGCGCAGGTCGGCTACCGAGTAGCCGGGAGTCATGTCAGCCAGCTGCTGAATGGAGCAGTCGACCAGGGAGCGGCCGGCCAGGTGGTGCGTCAGGTGCTCCACGCGGTCCTCGGCGCCGCCAACAGTCAGGTGCAGCTGTGAGAAGGAGGGGAGAGGTCAGAGCACTGCTGGCAGGGAACGGGGAACGTGGGTCAGAGAGGCGCTAAAAACTGCGTTACGGTGAGCATCCTTTTACAAAATACAATCCCGCACTGTACGATGTTTTATCACTGACACTCCCTCTCTCCTCTCCCTTTACTCACCTCTGTGTCGAAGCGCGCCGCGCTGCGCAGGGCCGAGTGCAGCTGCTGCGGCTGGCTGCAGGTGGCCACCACCAGCGTCCGCGGCCAGCAGCGCACCTCGTCCAGCAGCTGCAGCAGCTGCGCGCGCGGCTCGCCCCGTACCGCGTGCACGGCGCGCAGCAGCAGCAGCAGCGGGCCGCAGTCGGCCAGCCGGCGCGCCTCGGCCGCGCGCGCCCGCAGCTCTGTCTGCGCGGCGCCCGGCCGCTCCGACGGCAGGTCGTCACAGCGCAGCGTCACCGGCAGCGCGCCGGCCGCCGCCGCCGCCGCGCGCGCCAGGGTCGCCTTACCGCAGCCGGCCGGACCCAGCAGCAGCACACTGGACGAGCGTTCACAGCCGGGGTGACAAAAGTGACGCGCCGCTGCCGTCAGCCGCGCGCGCGCCGTCGCGTGCCCGCTGGTCGGCGGGCGCTCGGCGGTGAACTCTGCGTGCAGCCGGGTCTCCACGGCTGCGACAGTGACGTCGGCGTCAGCCGCGGTAGTGCCGAGCGTCTCACCGGCCAGCTGCGGGCAGGTGACCTCCAGCCACAGCACGCCCAGCCGGCGGCCCAGCGGCGTGCCGGCGCAGCCCAGCCGGCAGCGTGCCGACAGCGCGCGGCCGGTGAGCAGGGCGCGCGCCGCCGTCAACGCCGCGTCCCGGCGCCGCAGCCGCAGCACGTCGGCCGCCGAGCTGCACACCAGCCGCACCGAGAGCCGCGTCACCGACAGTGCCTCGGGGACGGACAGACGCGCCGGTGGGCCGGTAGGCGGCGGCTCGGCCCCGGCCGGCACCAGACAGGTGGCGCAGCCGTCCGCCAGCGCCGTGCCGGGCCGCAGCTCGGGCCGCACGTACAGCCGACAGATCAGGGAGCGGCGGCCGTCTGTCAGCCGGACGGGGGCGCCCTCGTGCGCCGGCAGCGCCGCCCGCAGGTCCGAGCTGACAAAACACTTCTGAGCATCCAGAAATGGACGCTTTTCCTGCAGGATCAGCCTTTGTATGTCCACCATTTTCTTTCTGAAAAGTGATGAGGATTAGTGTGGTATTTCTTTATGCCTCATTTTGAAAACAGATACAATGGTGCCTCCTTTAGAGAGTATGTCCTATTCAGGATTTAGTTTTTGAAAATCAGTGTGCATTTAATCGATCAATCTTCAAGAATTTATGCAAAGCCAATATGGATAGAGCATAAATCACGCTGACGCTGTTTGCATAATCTTGGGGACTTTGAAGTTTTATTAGGAGGTTATGGTGACTACCTATATTCCTATAAAATTTTGAAGATAGTTATTTGATGTGCTAAGAAGATCCATGTGCCATTTTTATGAAAAAATAAGCACTTCTGAAAGTAACCTGCCCATGAAAGTAATTGAACAATCGGAGGGTAGAGAGCATGGTCAACGCAACAAGCTTTGCTCTGTCCTTGTTAATCCTTCAATTCAAAAGGTTCGAACTAAATTTAAGAAAATATTACAGCCAAAAACTTTTAAAATTTGTTCAAGAAAACTGTAAAGTTTTGAGGCATCATATATGCAGTATGCTTGAAAAAAGATATGGCTTGATTTCTCCCAAAAGTCAGACAGAGGAGGCAGTCAGGCGTGCTTAAATGACAAGCATTAGAAATGTGACGACAGTGACTAGCTTGAGCTCTGAAGAAACATTAAAAACAAACTGCCATTAGGCATTATTAAGCATTAATTAACACAGGTTGAAGCCGACAAATTGAAATACGATAAAGCCCAAAAAACATGGCACTCAGATCAGACCCCTATTCACTTATCTATGCAGATTAATAAGACGCCCCTTAGGATTTGTAAAATAGAATCATGATTCTTGGTCAAATACTGCCATAAATTAAAATTAACTCAGCTTGCAAACCAACCAAAATAAAATTGTGTACGTTGTGTACCTACATACAGTTGTTGTTGTTCTGGGTTAGGGCGCGTAGCAGCTTGGCTCTTGCGTCCAACACCTACATACAACACACGTGAGAGTCGCACACAGTGGTCGCACACGAATTGCCTGTGCGCCAGAAACGAATATAACGCGGCATATATGAAAGCTTTGATCACTGCTAAATTGCTACCAAATTCTTTTGCAGAGCTGAGTAATACTTTATGTGCTCAGCGGTACAGCATAGCCTATCAGGCGTTTACGTCGATTCCCAGTGGGGGGACTGTTGAATAGCACCAGACTGGTACGGATATTTCAGCGATAAAATTGTTTTTGTTCTTCGGCCAGCGCAGCCGAAGTCGGGAGCTGCCTGGTCAGCAGTGGCCATCGTTCGGGTAGATGGTAGATGCGGCGGACCGCGGATGCAACTACTGGCTACTGCAAGCCGAGCCGCAAGAAAAAGACGGCCGTACAAGCTGGGAACCGAAAACCAGGATCTCGTGCACCATGACATTTCGTCTCGACTCTCGTAATGTAACTAACCAATAATGGACGCGCCTGTGGGAGCGGAGCGGGGCGGACATCCGCCTGCAATCGCTATTTCCGTGGCCCTCAGAGTGAGAGTTTTCGTATAACAGCAACAAAATAAAACAAAACATGCGAATCCCGTAGGGTCGCTAAAGTTAGCACGAGTAGACATTCCCTACCGCTTTTGCCTAACTATTGCGTGCAAGTGGTGTCCTCAAGCCTAACTTGACAGGTGAAGTTACCAGGTCACGTTTACCCGCGCCGCATGCTGGAATTCAGCCGAAGGCACCCTGCTGGGGGGGGGGGGGGGGACCAAACGGGCAGATTCTGCCCTCCCCCCGTCTAACTGCATGCTCTAGCTGCACAAGCACGAGTTTGCTGAATCATCGTCTCTTATAGTAGGTATGTAGGTATACCTATAGAAGGTATACCTACCTACATACCTACTCGGTAGGTATACCTACTCCGCTGACTATATTTCGACGAGCTTATTGGGTGTAAGATTATCGCTGAATGAAATAAATCCATCTACAACATGTCCAGCGAAAAATAGGCTCAAAATAAACCGCAGCGTTGACTCAAAGCGACCCACCGTCCCATTTGTCACCAGCCAACAAAGTTAGACAACCGCACAGTGAGGCGAAAAAACGCATTAGGCCGCCCTGCAGGAGCGGCACTGAATGGACTGGCTTCGGGCATGCCCTCGGAGCTCCGACCGCTCCGAGTCCAAATACTCCCTCGATAGTCGTCCGGTTATTCAGCCGGCTCAGCCAACACTGAAAGTGTATTAGACATAAATGCACCAAATACTATATTTTCAACCTGAGACTCGTAAATGGAAAAGATTTGTGCACAACATACACAGAGCGGCGCAGTTATCGAGTTCGCATCCTATTCATATTTCCGCACACCGGGAAATAAAAATACGTTGTCCGATTGGGGCAGTTGGCTGACTTCACTGGGGTAGGTATCCGTATCTGATTAACTTGAGGTCAGCCGCGCTCATTTGCTGTCCGATCTGATTAACAACTTCTAATATCTGATAATAAAGACTGTCATTGAAGAATGAAGATAAACTGATGATTTTGTATCTCTTCTTGGCCAATGCTTCGTCTGTCAATATGTTTGTCTATCTGTCTGTCTGTCTATCTGTCTGTCTGTCTGTCTGTCTGTCTGTCTGTCTGTCTGTCAGTCTGTCTGTCTGTCTGTCTGTCTGTCTGTCTGTCTGTCTGTCTGTCTGTCTGTCTGTCTGTCTGTCTGTCTGTCTGTCTGTCTATCTATCCTCCCTCTCTCTCTTTCTCTTTCTCTCTCTCTTTCTCTCTCTCTCTATCTCTCTTACCACTTTTTCGTATTTTCTCATTTACATGCGATGATCTGTGTCTGAACTATTAACATAGGATATGATCGACTCCAAGATTGATATCGGGGTGACTGGTTTATCGTTGCCCATTGTTGTCTTCCCGTCTACTAAGTTGAGCGATGCATCACGGTAAGAAGCCGAGCCACCATACCAATAGCGGTCTGGGGATGGTCCCTCTATGAACGACAGAGAGAGAGAGAGAGAGAGAGAGAGAGAGAGAGAGAGAGAGAGAGAGAGAGAGAGAGAGAGAGAGAGAGAGAGAGAGAGAGAGAGAGAGAGAGAGAGAGAGAGAGAGAGAGAGAGAGAGAGAGAGCGAGAGCGAGAGAGAGAGAGAGAGCGAGAGAGAGAGCGAGAGAGAGAGAGAGAGAGAGAGAGAGAGAGAGAGAGAGAGAGAGAGAGAGAGAGAGAGAGAGAGAGAGAGAGAGAGAGAGAGAGAGAGAGAGAGTGGGAGAGAGTTGAACGGAAAGGAAAAGAAAGGGTAGGCCGTAAGGAGTAAAGGAACAGAAAATAAATTAACTCTTAATATGCATAAGAAGAAAAGTCAATAAGTACAGAATCTTTGTCGCATTTTTCGTTCGTTACTTGAGCTGACCTGAGCAACCGCCTATACGTTTTCTAGTTTTTCTATACCTATACCTACACATAAAAGTGCACACAAAACACGAGTGCAAAGAGAAATAAAAATGGGAGACGAGAAAAAAGTGCTGGGTAGTCACGCATCTCGGCTCTCTACAACAAAAGACAAAATGGCGTGGAACGGAACACTGCTGTCTTGGCGAAAACACATAAGACAAAACAGAACAATAGCTAAAAAGTCGTGTTAAACAGCGTCGCTCAGCATTCCTGGGACGGCTATGGAGCACGTCCACCGGCGCCGTGGTCTCGGCCGGCTGAAAAAGGCCATTACAGGCGGCGGCGCAGTCACCAATAGAGGCGGCCGGCGCGCGTTTGACGCTGATGGGGTCGTTTGGGCGACGGCTGACCGGCCGGCCGGTGCCGCAGTCAACAACTCGGCGGCGCCGACCGGCCCGGCCGGCCGGCTGCGGCACGAGAGGGTCCCGACAGAGAGAGTGGCGAGAGAGGGACCCCTCCTGACAGAGAGAGTGGCGAGAGAGGGACCCTTCCCGACAGAGAGAGCGACGAGAGAGGAGTCCCGCGCGGTGACACAGGCTCGGCGATGGAACACTTGATGTTTTTTGAAGACGGAACTAGGCAGGACAGCTCAAAATTCCAATGTAAGGCACGGATAGTAAAATAATACAGCAACCTAAAAATAGATACTGACAACTGACGAAACTTCATGAGCTACCACAGTCCAGCTCAGAGTAACTTCCTGGTTTGGTAAGCACTGCACAGAAAAATGAAACTAATGATAAATGAAACTAACGGAGCGCGCCCATTAGCCCACGACCCACTGGAGGGGGAAGGGGTCTTTTCATAGCCCCCTCTCCTTTTTCTGCAATACCTTCTAAACCACTAGACGTATCAACGCGAAACCTTGGGCTGCATCAATTTGACACCATGTGTTTAAAACATATTCGTAGCTATATTAGGTCGTCTGGAAATGTCGTCAGAGTGACCTCATTTTTTCAATATCAATGTAAAACATAAAACTACGGCAATCGCTCCCAAGGCCTCCATTTTTAGTAGGTATGACTTCTTTGCATGAAAGGATTCAAAATACACAGATCTACCAAACTGCTGTCTCAGATGTTCAAAAGCTGGAAATTTAAAATGAATTTTAAAAAAAATCGTTTGTTTAGGTTTTCGCTGAGGTTTTTTTCACATTAAAAAACGCAATACATAGGTATATATGATAAAACACATACAGATGATCTACCTTCTATAGGAGGTTTTAGGCCGATACATTATTCAAAAATAGCAAAGCTATACGCTTCCATAGAGTCAATATTTCACTATTATCAAAAATTGAAATCAATTTTCAGTATGTTTTGGACATTCTACACCAAAATGAATAACACCATCGTGCTCCTGAGTTCAAACTGCATCTGCTAGACATATTTTTGTTAAAAAAAATAATTTCAAAATTTGACATTTTTACCTGAAAGATCCTATATTCAGTAAATTGTAAAAATGGCCTCAAAGAGCACAGATGCCACTGATTTCGAAATATATGGCCCAAGTGGACCATAAAACACGTGTCACGTGACCGATGCATGATGTAAAATTTCCGTGATCTAGGATGACCTGACCTGGCCTTGACCTGGAAAAATTCGAAGCACAAGTTCTACACCAATATCCTCAGGATATTTTAGGCATATACCTATTCACGAGTGTGTAAACCAAAATTGAGCTTAAGCTGACTTAGTTCAAACCGGTGGCCAGATTTTAAACTGTGAACAAGCCAAAACAATGATATTTCTTACTTTGACCTGACCTGTGACGTCATCACTGACCTCGAGGTCAATAAAAGTAGTTTTTTCAGGAAAAAAACTACTTTTAGGACTACTCTCTCACTACTCTCAGGACTGAGTTTTTTCAGGGCTATCAGTGCCGTTCGAATTTTAACAATCGGGCAAGTAACTTCAGATGTTAGGAGGTGGAAATGTATACCTAGCCTCCCCCCATGAGGGGCGCGTTATAACTAGAAATACCTACTCCAGTGGGGCGAGGGTTAGTTTTTGAACTCATTCGCTATTCTTATTTCTACAGTTACTGTAGTTTCTGTAGTTTCTGTGTCTAATAAGTTTCTGTATAAACTTATTTTCAACTCGTTGATCCAATGTCATGTTATTGTGCCAAGTTTATGCATTAATGGAGCATACTGCGCGGCTCGAACAGCCTCGACCTGATCCGGCCGCGGGAGCCAGCAGCTGCGCCGAATCCCTCTAAACTCATCACGACAGACCGCCAGCGAATCGGGCCGGCACACACGACGGCGCACGTCAATAAGTTGTCATCGATGCATAAATTGGGGCTGCGCCAGATGCGGCTGTCGCATAAAAACCGCCCAAATGCACCGGGCGGCCGCACAACACGGCAGCGAGGCACGACGGTCTGAAAGGGCGCCCTGTCAGAGGCGACGGCTCGGGGGGCGTGAACTGACGGCGACCCGTCAAATCGACTATTTGGCCGCGAAGAGCCCTTACAGTGGCAGCAGGCTGGAAAGCCACGACATTCTACCTTCACCTGGGCTGCGATATACGAATCGTTTTACGTCCGTCCGT